GAAATAAAGTCTTATCGGACGCAGCTCAGTATTTTTCAGCCAACCTGGCACCTCGTTTTGTCTTGAGTGTAGTCGTTAAGAAGAGGTCGCCCATTATCTATGAACTCGCTAACCCCAATGGTTCTCCGGTAGGTCGTTATCGTGTAAAGGACCTGAAGCCATATTTTGTCTCCAACTCTGACGTTTCCGTTGGATAACGAACTCTCCTACCCTTTCGTAAACTGTTTATTTTTTTGGCTACTTGTGTCGACCTGTTGCACCATACTCTACTATGACCACTTCTCGATTGTGATTTTTTTTCCAAAACTATGACCTCCCGATTTAGTCTCCTACTAGGAGGACGTTTGGTATGCGTGAAGTACCGCTGTGATTTCATTTTAATGCCGCTAATCTAGTCTCCCGACTTCTTAGTCTTCTCTCACCCTTATCGCAAAATCAAGTAAGGGTGGATTTTTCTTTCATGGAGGGGGTGGTGTAGCATGCTACTTTTACTTGCCGGTGTGTGGGGCGTATTTTAAAGGGCCATACAAATGCTTAACACCCGTTTTGATTTTTGTTTTTTTGGCACCGGCCGATATGGGGCGGCTGGAGCTACGCCTTTTACCCCTCCCATGTCAGTGGGTGGCTGCTATAAGGCACAGGGGGTGTCTCTCTGCACTCCTGGGTGCCATACCACTCAAATCTCTTTCTTTACACTTTTATCTTTCCTCTCGTCTTCTCTCTTCTATTTCCCAGAGTACAGTTGTACTGTTTTGGGGAAGGTTTTCCCTTCCTTTCCACTCTTTGTCGACACCCCAAAATTTTACAGGGCTCCATTAAACTTTTGCTTTCCATTTTTACCTAGATTACCATCAATTTCACGTAAGTCCTCGTTTTCGTCAATTTCTTTTGAAGGTTAGAAACTTCTATATTTTTATATACTTCGTGTTTCTTATTTTTCTTCTTCTTTTTCTTGTTTTTCTCCTCAGTTACAGGAACATCTACTTCCATTACATTATCAGAACTATTCTGTCTTTTCATCTTTTTGGGTATATTTTCATAACTACAATTTTCTTCTTTTGAATCAACACAAAGCCTATTTTTCTTTTTTTTCTTCTTTGGATGACGATGTTGACTTCCTCCAGAATTTCGTGATTTTGAGGTATGACATCCACATTCGATGAACCATGTTCTGATGGTATTACCCCAAAACAGCCATAGATTCTAAACAGAAGATACCACAAAAAATATGTAGGTATCATACATCATCATAACTAAGTATCTGAACATCCTCTGTTGGCGGAAGATACACATTTTCACATTTTAAATAGAAATTTTCTATATTAAAAACGGCACTAATGCGTTCTTCAACGTTTCTGATGCATTTCGTCTTTTTATTAACGAAAATTCTAGCCAAACACCGATGATCGTGAAAAAATAGGCTCAAATTTACAGTGATTCTCATTTTTGCTTTTTGCTTTTTTTTTTATATATACAAAATGAGAATTTCCACACAACAAAGACACACACTTGGACACATCTGTTGAAACTGTAATAAGGATGCTAGAAAAAATCGCTACAAAAAACAAGCAAAAACTTTAAACACTTGCTGTCTTTACTCGATCGGCGTCGTATTATCGAGTTCTAATAATGCTTAACATCGGTCTTGAACACCATAAAAGACACCATAAAAAGAGTAAAGGGCCTAAAAGAATATATAGTAGTGTTGAGGTAGTCAAATTAAGTATAACTGGTTGCATATGTTCGTTTTTCTCAGGATTTTCAGGTTTTAACAGTAATTTTCTTTCCGTTTTGATTTTTGTTTTTTTGGCGCCAGTCGATATGGGGCCGCTGGAGCTACGCCTGTTACCCCTCCCATGTCAGCGGGTGGCTGCTATAAGCCACAGGGGGTGTCACTCTGCACTCCTGGGTGCCATAAAGTGTTAAGCGCTGTTAGTATTGAACCTGGTATTAATGACACTATATTTCACGCTTTAGAAAAGAAAATTGAAAAATTTGAACATAGAGATAAGCTTTGTACTTTGGTATTTGATGAAATGGCTATTCAGCCTCATTTAGATTACAATAAACACCAGGAATACGTGGTAGGTTTAGAGGATGACGGCAGCCAAAGAACTGAGAAAATTGCCAACCATGTAATGGTATTTATGTTGCGTGGCATTTTCAAAAGATGGAAACAGCCCGTTGCATTTTCATTCTGTAAATACTCAATGTGTCAGCAGATAAAATTGTCAGTTTTTACAAAGATATTGTACTACCCCCTGAAGCAATAAGCTTAAAAGTGATTGCATCTGTTTGCGATCAAGGGACATAATGTAATGGAATGAGTAAGTTTGAATTCGTTAGTCAGCAAATGCTTGTCCATTGCAAGGAACTAAGGTAGGTCATCAATAGTGTATAAAAGTGTAAGTAATAGCTAAAACCAGGAAGTGTTAAGTCTGGGTTTGTAGTGGTAAAATGGGTAAATAAATGGATAATAAATATGTAGTGGTGTTATTAACCAACCACCGTCGTGACTATTAGAGAGGATCTGTTGCATCTGTTTGCGATCAAGGGACATAAACACCTTATTCAAAAAAAACAAAGAGGAAAATCCTGACATTGAAGAAGAGGTTATAGTATTCCTCATCTGTTGAAAAGTATAAGAAATAATCTATTAGGTAAAGATTTAAAATTATCGAATGGTATCCCGATGACGAATTTACCAAATTCAAAGTACAGAGAATAATACATTTATTTGAGGATACGGGAAGTGTACAAGACCTAAAACGAGTGAAAAGGTGTTGGATAGACCTAGCAAAATTATTTCCATTCAAGTTAGAATTAATTCCTGAACCGAAAGCAATTTTGCACCTTCGAAAAGGTTGTAGTGCAGCAAGGGTGTCTAAAATGCGAGGATAGCAGTTTTTTGTTTCATTGCCACCTATCCTTTCATACTTTTTGGAGTTATTTGCGCAATAATTTATCGTTTTTTGTCTAACCAGATGTATTTCGGAGATGTATTATGCAGTTATTTTTCATGTTTAATCAAGTGATGCAAAACTTAATTAATTCAAAATTAAATTAAGGCATGGAAAATTTATTTTTTCAAGATAATGATTATTCTCACCGGTTCATATTAATCCTCACCTATCAAAATACCTACACCTGGTTTCACAAAAAACGGGAAAAGATGAGCAAATCAGGTTCTCATAGATCAATGAAAAGCAATAGGAATATGACGTTCATATCACTGTCATTTTTCCAGTTTTTTATGAAACTAGCTGTACATGTCAAATTTCATAACGATCCGTTCAAAAAAGCCTGAGTTATTGCGCCCGAAAGTGTTACGTGGGACACCCCGACGTCCCGTATATCATTCTCCATTTAAACACTGATTGATTTCTTTTAACTATGTTCATTCGCTTAAGGTGTTCTTCAAATATTGATTTCTTCAATAATCTTCATTATTACTTAATGTGAGGTTTATTAAAATTTCGTTAAGTATTTTATGTGTGTGAAAATATCTTGTCAAAAGTGAGGTTAAAATAGCTTTCCACGTCAAGGAGGTTTAACCATGGTTTAACCATGGCCGACTAGTATAAAGATTATGGCCTGTCCAAAGGAATGCCAAAGGTACCATACGTGCTGCCATCTATTAATAATTCAAAAGCGACAAAAGAATTATTAACACTTTTTGAAAGGCACAAAGGCATTCATACCGAAACAAACCACCATTACACGTTTTGAAGTCCCATAATGTCAAGTCAAATTAAAATTTGGCTAAATTATTAAGTGTAATTATTAATAGATGGCAGCACGTATCGTACCTCTTGGACAGGCCATAATCTTTATACTAGTCGGCCATGGTTTAACATGCATTGACTAAAAAGTGAGGTTAAATTATCTTTCACGTCAAATGAAATGGTTCATGAAATATTTCAAAAGCGGATATTTCACATCATTTTTACAACACTAAAGAAGGCCGGAAACAATTTTACTGAAATTAAAGTAGTGATTTATTTAAGCATGGTATTATTTAATCATTACAATCAACCATCAGGTCAAACATAGCAGTAACGGACTCACCAAAATGTAGATTGTCGAAATTTTATAGGGCGATTCGCAGTACGCATTATGCCCTTGCAGTGTTGCCAATTCGTGGGATTTATCCCTTTTCACGGGATTTTAAGCTTGTTTAAGGGATAAAGGGATTTAAGCCTCTTTTCGTGGGATTTTTAATAGTGGTAATATTCAGTTATCCGAAGATTCTTGTTCCTTGTTTACATTCACATGACATAACATCGAAACAGCGCTACCGCTACCATGGTAGTACTAAATTGTCCTAAATGGTAAATCAAAAACTGTGATCAAAAATCTTCTCGGTGTGGTCGGTAATGCAGTTAACTGAACTGATTTTGTTACTCCTTTAGTCGTGTTTTAGGTTAGGTATCAGTCTATCAGTTCCTCAGCTGTTGTCAACTGTCGCCATCACGAAATATTTATGGTTAAGTTTATTTTTTATTCCTGTTGTAACAATTTTTAAAAGTATTTAGTGTGTGTATCGAAAAATAATTTTGTAAGAAAGATAAGAAAAATGTCTGATACAGACACATCAAATGGTAATGCAGAACATTCACATAAAAGAAAAAAATACAGGCATGCTGAGCATAAACGTTTTCAGCTCGCTTGGCTGGAAAAAGACAAGTTTAAAAACTGGCTGCAACCATTAGCTAATAACAAAGAAAAATGTCGGTATGTAGTATGAAAATCATAGAAGTACTTGGTTGATGATAATTATTATTAATTACAGGTGCAAGGTTTGCAATATTGAGTTGGTCTGTGGTCTCACAGAGCTAACAAGGCATTCTGAAAGAAAAAAACATATTGAAAAAATGAGAACTGTGAATTTAAATAGAAGTGTTACCAATTACTTTAAAAATAATGATGGTCATGAAGAAAAAGTAAAGAGAGCTGAACTTAAATTAGCATTATTTTTTGCTGAACACAATGTAGCTACAATGGTTGTGGATCATTTAGTCCCCTTATTGAAAGATATCTTCGGTGATTCGAAAATATTACAAGATGTGAGATTAGCAAGAACAAAATGTAGCGAGGTTGTAAACAACGTTGTTAGCAAGCATGAAACCAATGTTTTAGTTAAAAATTTGAAAAATAACAATTTTTCAGTATTAGTTGATGAGAGCACTGATATATCAAATCACAAAAACCTTTGTGTTTTAGTGAAATATTGTGATAACGATGACAATAAGACTAAAACTAATTTATTAGAGTTAGTACCTTTAGATGCTAAAGACTGCAGTGCAGAGAATCTGTACAATGCTTTTAAAGACTGTTTATATAAGCACAATATTCCATTAACAAATATCATAGGTATAGCTTGTGATGGAGCAAATGTGATGACTGGTCACACTAATTCGTTTTTCAGTCGTCTTCAAGATGACATTCCACATGTAGTATTAATGAAATGTGTATGTCATTCTGCCGCCTTGGTGGCTAGTAAAGCTTGCGAAAAGTTACCACGAGGACCAGAAGATCTAATTAGGAATATAGGGTCTTATATTACTGGAAGTGCCAAGCGTTGTGCAATATTAGTAGAGTTCCAGACATATTTTCACCAAGAACAAAAAAAAATCTTGAAGCTTGCAACCACTAGGTGGTTGAGTAGACACCAATGTGTGGTGAGAATCTTAGACAATTGGACATCTTTAGAACATTTTTTTGTTACAGCAGCTGCTGAAGATAAATTAAGATGTGCGGAAACTATTCTCAAAGATATGAGAGATGTGTACACCAAAGCATATCTTTATTTTTTAAAATATGCTTTAAATTTTTTAAATGCATTCAATGCCCTTTTTCAATCTAACGCTATAATTATACATCAACTCCAGGACAATTGCAATAGGTTGCTCTTGCAATTGTGTAGTAACTACCTAAAAACAGAAGTGTGTTATTGCAAAGATTTGAGCGCCATTAATTTAGCGCATCCAGAGTATTTTGTAGAATTGAAAAATATAAAATTAGGTGCTGCATGTGAGAGCTATTTGCAATCAGCACCACTGGCAGTCCAAGAAACAGTGAGGAAATATTGTTTATCATTTTATGTTACTGCTGGATCAGAAATTCAACAGAGATTACCTATATCCAACTCTATATTTAAATCCATGAAGTTTATGGACCCTGAAATAATTTTTTCCCCAACAAGGCATTCAGAAATACAGCTCACTCCCTTAGTAAATCAGTTTAAAAGTCTAATTGATGAAACACAATTGTCTGTCGAATGGCAAAATCTACCATCATCTTTTAATGAACAGGAAAGAAAAGACTTGAAAGTTATGCCACTTGACAAAATGTGGCTGGAAATAGCAAATGCTAAGAACTTTGACAATATCTTGATGTTTCCAAATATAGGCAAATTAGCTAAAGTAATTCTCACATTACCCCATTCGAATGCAGAAGCTGAGAGGATATTCTCTCTAGTGACAGACATTAAGAGCAAGAAAAGAAATAGAATGGGTGAAATTACTTTAAATGCAATGTGTGTCATACGTAGTGCACTGCATCAGAGCAATAAAACTTGTGTTAATTATGCAATAGTCAATGATATGTTGAAACTGTATAGCAATTTTTACTCATTTAAAGAGTGAATAAATTAATTTTTATGTTGTTAGTTTGTTTGTTAAATTTTAAGAATTTAAATTAATTTTCCGTGTAAATCGGTTTCTTTGTTCTATTTTTTACATGATAAGAGTTTATGATTTTGTTTTGATAATAAAATGTATACCATACAAGAAAACATTTTAATTATTAAAGCTTATTTTCGAAGCGTACGTTTAATAAATGAAGATTGGCCTATTCAATGTGTCTACTTGTGACATGCGCAATATAGCGCAAAATCGCCAACTGCAACCAAGAAATGTAAACAACAAACAGAAAAATTAAGCAGGGATTGAGTCAACTTTATCCCTCAAGCGATCGAGTTTTCTTCATAATTATTTAATAATTTTTCAAGAGTATTTTGTAGTTATGCAACCAACAATTGTCAGTTACCTTCTATCCATTATTTCGAGAAGCGGCATTTTTTAATTTGCATGGAAAATCCATAAGCGACTAGATGAAAATCATTTTGAAACACCCGGTATAATAAATTATTATGGGATTTTTTTTTATTCGCGAAAATTTCAAAGAGCAATGAAACGAACAATTAATTGTTGCATCAATTAATTTTGTTCGTTTCATGGCGCCTTTGATCACGTTTTTTCTTGCTCTCCCAGTATATACATACCTACTAGAGAAGCAACGCGGGAATAATGTAAATTTAACAATTTGGTGTGGGATATTTAGCGAAAAAAAGGGATATTTTTGGTAAGTTCGTGGGATATTTCGTAATCTTGGGTTGGCAACACTGTGCCCTTGTGGAATCTCGCTCATATCACCACACTTTCAAGAACCGATAACTTAGTTGTACACTCACTTCAACACCTTTTTCATTTATTCGGCACTTATTCGCGTTATTATAATTTTAGTTGCTGTCCGGTTCGCGTTCGTTTTTAGACTGAATTATTCAGACTTTTTTGGTATAAACACAGCATAAAAGTGAAATCCTAGCACAAATGAAACCGATTACCGAATATCGACCCTCGATCTCGCAAGCCAGATGGATGGTGTTTTCGGCGAAATGCTGTAATCTCAAATTTGTTTCACTTGTTAAGCCGGGCGTCCCTTTGACGCCAGTTATTACTCGTGTGAAATTTAACCGGCCACAGCCACAGAGACATGTCTGTGCTCCTCGTGCATTTCCGGCTAGTAATGCGCAGAATCGATTCGATTTTACAGGAATCGATTATTTTGGATGGTAAAAAATCGATTTTAAATCGATATTTTTACACGGCGATTAATTTTTTAGACCAATCGATTCAATAATAGTATATTATTATACTATGTAGTTTAATAACACGTCTTATTGTGGCACGCATGGGTTTGGGGCACGACAAGCGCAGCGAGGAGTGCTCCAAAGGAATAAGTGCCACAATGCGTCTTATTAAACGAGTATAATATACTATTTTTTCTACTTTGCATCTGATCGGAAACAAAAAATTAATAAAAATTTAAGGTTATAATTTAGGGCCTTTTAATTCGAAAGGTTAGTTGTAGCGTTGTGGCTAACTTCACAATGTCAAAGTTTGACATCTAACCACCGAACACTAACAATCTAACCTAAGTTTGCCTCAAAAAATGGAAGAAGGGGGCCCCACTTCTTGCACGCCACCTGAAATACAGTTTAACAATTGATCCCATTATTAAACTGGTTTCGGTTTAATAATGAGGCCATTGTTAACGCAAAGTAGAAAAAATTCGTTTTTTGTCACTTTACGTCGGCCGTCGACAAAACAGAACTGCGTTAAAGTCTATTTGTCATAAGAATTCCATAGTCTTGTAAAACCGTAATAAATAATAATACTTCTCAAACATTACTATTTTTGTCTCACTTTCCCTCATTGCGGTTGAGATGATACGTATTGCCTAGCATTTTAGAGGCGGTCCTAAAGATCTACCGGAAGGTGCGTACAAAGAAGTACTGTTTTGTTGAACTTGAAAAGGAGATGTTTAATGAAACAAATGAAATATAAATTTTAAGCTAGTATTAAGTTTAATTTTCAGAATACCTTACTAATAGGAAAACGCATTAAGATTGTGCAACTGTACGGGGGAAACTGTTTATTCGATTTTGCATTTTGCCTGCAACAAAACATAACTGTTTGAGAACCTGTGTCAAATTTCGGGTTTCACTCCGACAGGCGGAGCTATGTGTGTTCTCTCTCGCCCATCCGCTGAAGTTAAAATAAGAAAGCGTTTTGTTATTCTTGTTTCTCACAGCATAACCCAAAGTACGGGTGGTGGAAAAAACAGAGAATGAGTTTTACGATATCCTGGAAAAATTATAACAAATGAAGTATCACATGTTTACATCCGTCCTTCGTCCGGTTCCGGTGTCCGTTGGCCCGCTGTTGAGTTACTGCTAGAGTGGTTTTAAGATCTCGTGGCGGACGAATTAGAGCATCACTGCGCATCGGATCCGACCAAACTCAGCAGCGGGCGTAGAGGAGTAGAGGCTACTGTCTGTTCCGAAAAAGTATTCACTTTTCATTAGGTGTTTCGAGCAGGTACATTACTCAGTTGAGCGTACTAGAGTTCCCTCAAACATATAAGGCGTTTATGACTTCACACCAATTTGACTCCCATTATAATTCAATAGGCCGTCACAACCGGATGTCCTAAACACGCTCATCGATACCTACCTGAAAAGACCTTTTCTGGTCAAAGCACAGGGCAAGACTGAGTTTTGCATTTACCGACAACTGCGCCTTTCGATTTTTTTTATTTTAAGTAAAAACAAAGTAACTTTGTACTCAATCGTTTTTTATCACAGCAAATTAGTTAGAATTTTGACATACACAACTATTTACTTATTAACTACTACTACTGCTTATTTATTGATCGAAATAGTCACTGTCATCACTCGACTCTTCTAAATTAACAATTAACGGTTTTATCAACCGTGCCCTGTACTGGTCTTTTCCTGAATTTATTCTTCAAGAAGGCACTGTGTTTTGTAGCTTCTGCTACAAACCGCATTTCTATTTACAAATATTTATGTTTTCAGATCATCGGCAAAATTTTTTGCTACAATATTTCGAAGTGTTTAAAAATAAATTGCTACAAAAATACTAATTAAATGGCCTATTACTATTAATTTTTATTTATTTGTCACTATTTAGTGTAAGACAATAATTTTTAAAAATTTTATTTATCTATGTATTTTTTATTAAAAAAATTAAGCTTGATAAACCTGTTTTTATAATTTGTAAATAAATTTAGTTGTGTTACACTTCTTTTCAATTTTTGGAGAATATGCAACTGCACATCTCTGCATATATTAATAAAGTTACAGGATATTTGCATAAATTTCATGCATATTACATGATCATATTTCTCAAAATTTTGCTGCATACTTTTCGCTCTCTAGTCATGTATTATTTTTAATATAACAGCAATATGAATGTACCCTCTGGATTTGAAACAAAGGACGGTGACATCCTCAAAATGACTTGATTTATCAAAAAACTTAGTGAACCAGTTTTCTATGATTGCGATCGTACTTATTAAAGATTTTATGTTTTTTGCTTTCAGTATCTTAATAATATTTTCAAATGTGCAGAATAATGATTAAATAATTAAGGTACGGAAGAAACCTTAAAAACAAAATTACTCTTAGTCCGGTCCTTCGCGTCTCGGCCGTCCCTGGCACGTGGCAAGGTTTACATTTAGTAAGCTTTATGAAGGGTCGGCTGTAAAGTACTTTCAACGTCAAAGCCACAAACGCCTTATAGGTTTGAGGAAACTATAATACCTAGAAGTTTCGGTTTAGCGCACAACATCAAACCGGTGGCGGTCCTTCCACTGCCGAAGATCCAACAGATGTGGACTGGATCATTACAGATATATGTATCTGCAGTTGATTTTACTGCAGATGTATCTGCATATGATTCAGAGAGGAAGACCGCCACTGAAGTTGTCATATCTCAGATGGCCAATGCCCCCGAAGAATGTACGGGGCTAATAGATCCCGTAACGGGAAAAATTGAAATAACACAAACCTTTGTAAAAGAGACGTTTATCAGAAGCAAGAACCTGTATGTTCTTCAAACAGGTAAGAGATATACTCCAACAGATATATTGGAAATGAAAGTCTTTATTGGAATAAACATATTAATGGTGTAACGAGTGCATTGTAACAAGTGCACGTGCAACCCCAAAAAGGTCACCATTGTCGCGAGCTGATTTGTCTCAGCTGTCCATCATGGGTCGAATTCTTGTTAACGACCCCTTAAAAATCACCTCTTCCGAACCTTCCCAGAAAATCCCAACAAATAGATCCATATACTTCCTTTGTCCCATCTCGCTATATCCCGTCCTCTCTCCATGTGGCACCGGACCCTTGGGGTAATTTTATGATACCACATGTACAATCTTTTCCGAGGGAGTCGTTAAAAAGTAAACTGAGTCTCAAGCGTGCCTAGCCCTTTGTCGAATTTCAAGAAAACGGCACAGTTTTATAGCGACCATGATGGATGGGCACAGAGGCAGAGAAGGGCTTTGTTCGAGAAATCCCATTATCAAAATGGAATGATGCGATTTCGTCATCTTGTAAATATGTACAGACATTTGGGAAAAGAAACGGTTGGAAATTCGGATGGATTTCTACCACACGTGGAATAGAGTTTGCGATTCCACCTGTGAGAAACAACCGAGTCACAAGTAAAAGAACGTTCGATGGGTTCCAGATCTATGGCTGGCTATCCTAGTTCAGTCGCGAGCCAGTGCCCACTCCAAGACAGACTTCAGGTTACGAACCAAAAAAATCTAGAACTTTTGAAAAAGCAGATTTCTACAAATTTTTATCCGAAGCCCCCAATGAATTGTACTTAAGTATGAAGGAAAACATTTGTATAACCTCCCTCAAAATTTGTTTCTTATTTTTCGTTCTTTATAGGTAGGGGAATGTGGGGCAAAGCGGAACGTAGAGGCAAAGTGAAATTTTTGTTTAAAAACTAAATGAGTGCTGCCATCTGGGATTACCGTGCTA